CTCTGAAGAACATAATAGGGAATTTAAGCAAACCACGACGGCGACGGCAACGAGAACGTGGAAAAACAAAAGATCTAATTGGCAGAACAATAGCCCAGCACGTGCGTTTTAAAACTTTGTACATCTCTTAGCCGTCCTTTGCAAAACAACAAAACCGCGGCGGCAAATTATTTTAATTTACATTTGGAACTCAACGCTACTTTTAAGTGTTATGTTGAGTTTGAGGTCTGGCGCCCTATGAGACGGTAAACACATGCAGCCATTTTCGAAATTCTAACTAAAAGTAGAAATTCATTTTTCAATCGACGTCTTCGGTGGCGTTGCCGTCGTGACTGCTTAAGTTCCCTAATACTACTTTAAGGGGGTTACCATTTATACCCATAGTTTCAATCTTTTGAGAGGAGAATTGAGTATGCTTCCAGATGTTTAGCCTGATGGTGACGTTTTAACTTTCCACCACTAGGTAATGCGCTATTCATCTGGGCTACACACACGTCTTACTCAAGTCGTAAAACCTGAGAGTAGTCCATCCCCATCCAAATGGTGCCAATAAGATTTGTTGAAGAAAAACTCAACAGATACACAGCCTTGAGAGAATACTTCAACACTCGAGATATACATATATATCTTATTAACCAAGCGCGAGGGCCGTACTGGGAGAATATCGGCCCGAGGTCTTGACAAATAAGACCAAGGGCCGATATTCTTCCATTACGGTCCCGAGCAAGCTTGGTTAATAAGAGATTTATTACACGACTGAAGTTCAAAGGGACACAAGTGCGGTATCATTCGGGACCATTCGGGACAGTGCCCGGTCCAATACTTAGAGAATATTGGACCGGCAATAGAGCATTTTGATTAGTTGATTTTAGTTATTGGCTCTCTGACTGCCCGAGTCGTGTAATAAAATCTAGAATACCACTACTTTTTATCAGTTTTTAAATGCTAAAAACAATAAAGGCAATGCATAGTCGAGAAATCAATAACTCATTGAAGGTTGCTACAATCTGTTCCATTTTACTTTCTGATTTCCTACTTTACTTACCTGTTAAGATTCTGTTAATTACATTAAAAGCTGTTTTAATCTTAATCGCAGAGGTAAAGAAGTTTATTCTTTTTGCTGACGCTGACGGCAAATCCATTAATATCGTTTCACTGGATGTAAACTACTTCGTCGCTCAAACATTATTTAACCACCGTGGAAATCAGCGCCCTATTGCTTTGGATTATGACCCTGTCGAAGATCGCGTGTACTGGTCGGACATTGCTCAAGGTCTAATCGTCAGCGCTTTTATCAATGCAACTTCATCAAAAATTCTTTTCCGTTGTAACATCCTAGTTCCTGATGGTTTAGCTATTGATCATGTTGCACGGAACATTTACTGGACCGATACTGGAAATAACAGAATTGAGGTAGCTCGTCTGGACGGGACAGGTAGGAAAGCACTGATCGCTAGTGGACTAGATGAACCAAGAGCCATTCTACTGGATGAAAGGAATGGGCAAGTCATGACTTTTTAATTGTAATGCTTTGTATTTACTGGTTGGCGCATTCTAGCGGAATCGAATGAGCAAAGAAGTATGATCACAAGGGAACCTTTCAGTGAACATAGCCTTTCAGTTGCCCATGGTTTTGGGTACAAGCTAACTGCAAATGCTCCTACCCAATTAAATCGACTTAAAAAAACGAACGAAACAAAACAAAACAATAACAATAACAAAAACAAAAAATACAAAATAAAAAATTTAAATAACACGAAAAATTTGAGCGGCGGGTAAAATTGATGACTAAAGAAATGTCTATGTACGTTTGTGATGATAATTACTCAATAGGATAAACCGCGAAAGGCCGTTTGGCTGGGTGGGAAAGTAACTTCTGTAAACGTTTTCAGAAAAATTTCTGATGCTATTTCTTTTAGTATGATGTACTGGACGGACTGGGGCGCCGCACCAAAGGTAGAGAAAGCAGCAATGGATGGCTCAGTTAGAAGGTCCATTGTCACAGGAAATCTAGCCTGGCCAAACGGACTTACTCTCGACCAAACAACAAACCGTTTGTACTGGGCAGATGCTAAACTAGACACCATAGAAATGTCTGATTTGGATGGAGGAAACCGACAGATTGTTTTATCATCTTCAGCTGGAATTCATCCTTATGGATTAACAATCTATCAGGACATTCTTTACTGGACGGATTGGAATAACCGGAGTATTTCAAGTTATAATGCAACTAGTGGAGAGGCGGATATGGTGATTCCTGATCTACAGCAGCCGATGGACATTCACGTGTTTGATCCCTCCTTGATGTTCTTAGGTAAGAGCTCTGTGTCTACCAAGATTCGAACTATTGCCTCGTTCTTATCGTCTCTTAGTTAGAAAAATTTTACAAAGATATTTACTTGCGGCCGGATGTACAAAAAATGGTCCAACTTAGCCGCAGTTCAAGCAATCAATGAACCGGTACATTTGTTTTTTTTGTTCAAGTCTGTCGAAGCGAGCATTACCTTTCTAGTTTACTGACTATCCTTCTGAACTGTTTACAAAATCAACTTTTAGCTGAAATGTTTGGTGATTCTGTATCTGATCGTTAGTCTCATCAAAGGTGGCAACAAATGATAATATTTGTTCAGGAGGCTTGGAAAAGACGTTTAGAAGTAATTACTGATCTTTAATATAACTGCTATTATAGCAAAGTTTCTAGACGTAAAAGTTGCCTTTGAACACAGCTAAGGGATTTATGATTATTACGTAACTTCCATTTATAGGCTCGCATTCTTGTTCGCAAAACAATGGCATGTGCAGTGATTTGTGTCTTTTAAAGCCAGGAGGATACCAGTGTGCATGTCCGACGGGTGTTGCTCTTAAGGTCGACGGAAAAAACTGCGACCATGGTGAGGCTAATTATTTTTCAGCTATAAACAGAAGTTGTTTGTGGGTTTCATGAATGAACATTATTCATAAAAAATAAGGTTTAAAAATAAGTTAATCATCATAACTTCTTTCTATCATTCTTGTTATTTTTTTGCCTTAAAGATTTGTTCCAAAAAATAAGCAGTGAACACTTCTTGCTCTTCGCCGAAGCGGATCATAGTGAAATTTACAAGGTTTCTTTAGCAGTGACGAACACACCTTGCTATCCGCTTCAAATCAACATTAATATCTCCAGGCCCGTGGCTGTCGACTACGACCCAGTTGAGGGTAAAATCTATTGGACAGACGTGACCCTAAAATTACTGGCAAGAGCATTTCCGAACGGATCGTCAGTAGAGGTCATAGCGCACACTGACGTGGAAACGCCGGATGGACTTGTTGTAGATTACATTGGAAGGATTCTCTACTGGACTGATACTGGAACTAGCAAACTTGAAGTAGCACGACTAGATGGATCATTTAGAAAAAGCCTCATCACAACAGGGATAGAAAGTCCAAGAGCCATAATTCTAGATATAGCTAGGAGGTAATAAGAGCTTATATTTTTTCTTGGCTTCACTTGTAGCACACATTTTTGATATATGCCAATTGAATGATACACAGGAGAAAAATAGTTCTCATGAACTCAAAATTTCCAGCTATTGCAAAAGGGAAAGCATCAGATTTAAAAGATACCTTAATCTTCCCAGGGTTTTTTCGCTGGTTCATATCCCAGACTACTTTGAAAGCAAGTGCTATTTTCTACGAACACGCTTGTGCACTCTCTGTATAAATAATAGCCTCCGAATGGCGCAGAATTATGATAGAATATTCGTCCTTAAATCCTTTTGTAACGCGAAAGAGAAAGTCTACCTAAAGCGAATCTTAAGGAAAACTGAGTGCTTTGAAGAACAGATAATGTCCAAGGATAGGTATACGAGTATATATCTCATCAAAGGTATTGCTGCTTTCTATAACAATTGGGAAACGTTCATTCATAGCGAATTACCTTTAAGAAATACTTTTATCTTACAATGTATTCTACTGAAAGCCCCAATGCTGAAAATTATTGCTAACGATAACTTAGTAAAGGTTTTCATTGATGAATTGCAAAATTGTGACAAAGTACAGTGCAAATGTGCTCTTAATTGAAAGATTTATTTTAGACAAATGTACTGGAGTGATTGGGGATCATCACCAAAGATTGAGCAAGCTAACATGGATGGGTCTTCGAGGAAAACTATTGTAAGCACTGGACTCGTGTGGGTTAACGCACTAGCTCTAGATTCCCATAGTAACCTGTTGTATTGGTGCGATGCAAATCTTGATAAGATCGAAAGGGCAAACCTTCAAGGAAATAACCGTGAACTAGTTCTAGATTTGTCTTCTTACAACCATCATCCCTTTGGACTTTCCCTTTCTGATGACACTCTGTACTGGTCTGACTGGAGCAATCAGAGTATTCATAAGTACAACTTGACGTCTTCTCAAAGTGAAGTGCTGGTCTACGGAATGGGAAGGCCTATGGATGTGCATGTTCACGATCTGACAAAAGTACTTATAGGTGAGTGCACAATCTGGAATAGCTCACCTTTTTCTCTAACCTTTACCTGAAAAGCCAGGTTGACCTGATGATCAGTTTACGTTACACTTAAAAGAAAGTTTCTAAAATATTACTGAATAGATCTCCATATTGGCACAGCGCTGTCATTTGCCATCAAAATGATTCTCATCTCAATTTCGTCAGTATGAGCTGGCTAGAAAGTATTTTTTTTTTCATGTTTATAAAATATTCGCATTATTGGGCGGGGCAGATTAATGCTTTTAACTTCATTCTTGTCTAAGTGGAGCTGGCTGCACAAAGCCATCATCACATTTAAAAAAAAAAAGCACTTTCCAGGATCAACAAGTTGTTCACAAGTCAATGGAGGTTGCAGTCACCTTTGCCTTCCAAATCCGAGTGGACATCAATGCTTTTGTCCAGAGGGAGTTCAGCTGAAGCCCGGTGATGCTCTCACTTGTGAAGGAGGTGAGGAACATGAAATTTCTACTGGGTATGCGCATGAGATGGTGATAGAGAGAGTCGTTGTATATATAATCATGCAGCATTTGAATTAAAGCAATGAAAGTGTTATAAAATGTCTGATTCGTGCCGTAATTATCAGACCATCGCATCGCTTAATAAAATATACACTCGCTACGTTCTGGGAACTCTTAAAACAGCACGTCTTGCTCTCTCTTACCCTGTTTGCAGTTGTTAAGCATATTTGGAGCCTTTTCGGTCTCCTGCGCACTTACCATCTCGATGAGGGCGCGTTAAAGTATTAACCAGTTGCTAGTTTAAAAGGCAAATTTTTTTACCATTTCCTTTTCATAGTGAACCGTTGTCAACAGTTGCATGCCCCGCCACATGGAAGTCTAGAGCCCTGCTCTAATTTGCCAGGACAAACCTGCCAGTTTTCCTGTGATAAAGGATACACTTTGACGGGATCAACAAGTAGAACATGTAACAGTGATGGAGCATGGACAGGAATCCCAACTCAGTGTAATGGTAACTGATCTCAATTACTTCTTCCGTAATGATTACTTAAGAGGGGTGGGGATGGGAGATCTCGGTTTTAGGCATGTAACTTACAGGTTGCTGTTGCGGTGTCGAGTGATGAAGTAAAACCATATATTTGTTTCTGAGTCATTCCATCTTTCAGTCTCTGTCTATTTATGACTTCTACCAGAAAACATCTTTCGAAACATTACAATCCATTCTATATTACTTATTTTCCAGCTCTATATTTCAGAGTCCATCATTCTAACAATTTTAGGTAGGATTTCAGGGAGGAGAACTCATATTTGTGTCTTGATAGCACAGTTCCTTTGTATATTGCAGTTGTTTCTTTTCTTTGACATTAGCCTATTTCTTTAATCCTAATCTCTGTTGTTGTTTAAATGAGCACGATATGAATCATCTCTTATGTCTTTTAGCTGTTACGTGCTCTGCTCTGTCAGAACCATCCAATGGCTCACGGCTGGGCTGTGCAGGGACAACAATAGAATACTTCAATACAGTCTGTTCTTTCTTTTGCCATCCTGGGTACGACCCAATCGGCTCTGCTTCAAGAAAGTGCCTTGAAAACGGGACCTGGAGTGGCCAGGACTTTTTTTGCCAAGGTGAAAAATATTATTCATTACTCAAATTTCAACTTAGAACTATGATAATAATAATTAATAATAATAATAATAATAATAATAATATTAAAAAGTTAAAAAGCAAATTAAAACTTAAATGTACATAGTAATTAAAGCTAAAGATTGAAATAAAAACTCTTGGTACGTAACGTAAAATTTTAAAAACATTACTTATGAAAAGCAAGTCTAAAAAGATGCGTTTTAAGAACAAGTCTCTGTAAGAATCAAACATCGTAGGAAATGAAAATTCTCAACCCTTACCCCACTTCAAATTTTGCATGCAGTTATGCACTCAGGGGGATGCACAAAAACGCCCTTTTTAAAGATTGCAGCACTCTTGTTGCCATGGCAACAACGGCTGCTTGTCTGAGGCCTGGGGCCTCATTTTCATACAAAACCATCGCAAAAAAGTGTAAAATGTTTATTTCTCTATTTCAAGCTAAATACAACATTACAAATTGGTGCTTCTTTCATGCATAGTGACATCCTTCGTCTTCACTATGAAGCATTCAATTTTCCCTAGAAGAATGTAGACACACTAATAGATTATTTATCTCGGTAGAGTTTCGGTCATTTTTGTTGTTAGGTAAAACAGGGAAAATGTATATCTGAATTTCTCCAAAAGTACACCGATTCTGGAGCTAAAACTAACCACCTAGTTGGTTATAATATTCTTATTTTTAAATATGTAAATATCTCAGCGGACCGGCCTCTACTTTTCATAGGGGCAATTCGCGAACGAAGCTCAAAAATCGGATATTGCATAATTTGGCGATGTTTACATCTAATGTTCTCAACAACCAACGCTTCAGACAAAGAAACGTGCAAGGCTTTAAAATAATGTTATCTTATGAGCAATATCCCGAAGAGAAATCTCGCCTCTGGTTGTTATCTCGTAAAAAAATTGATCCGGCAGCGTTCGTGGAGGACTACTCGACGTAACTACAAACATATACCTTAAATTGTGCGCATTTCATCCAGATTCAAACTGCTACGCCTTCTTTCACGGGAGTTTGAGCAATCCGAAATCCTCTGAAGATACACTGTTACACTTGTATGTCGTCTGAAACATGTTAAAGTCGGCTGATCTACACGAAATTATCCTAACACTACTCATTTGTCATAAACATGCATGTTATCACGATGGTGTGACGTTGTAGTTCTCCATGAAGTTTCCATCAGTCGCTCCAAAGAAGACGAGAAATGGACATTTTTCGATATTTCAGCAGATTTCCGCGCATTCTGAAGTAAAAACAACCCCAAAAAAGGAAAAACTTGATTGAACGCTCGTAAACACTAAGAATCTGAGAGCATAGCTAGAAACTTGTCAGCGGTAGTATTCTATGTAAAACCCGTGATAGTTGCAACAGTAGCGATTTGTGCGACATATATGCGTTCCTTACAAAGAGCAGATTAGGGCAGTTGTCATTTCCTAATGACAGGAAATGAGATACTTCGAATCCTCTGAGAACTGTTAAAAAACTGGTTTTTTTTTCGCTGTAAATCGCATCATTTTACGCTTGACTGAGTTTTAGACGCATGACGTCAAAGTCTTTCTGTTTTGCATACAAATTAATGTGAAAGCATTTCCGGTTCCGCTTTTTATTTAAAAACCGGCTCAGTACTGCATCAATAAAATATTGGAATTGACCAAGTCCTGTATTTGGGCGATTTCAAAATGGATGTAATAAAGTGGTAATTGAACCTCGTGTCGTGCAATTTTGGTCTGAAATCATACTTGTGATTTCAAATCGAACTCGCACTGCGCACTCGTGCGATTTTGAAATCACGCGTATGACTTCAGTCCAAAATTGCACTCCACTCAGGTCAATTGCCATTATTTACGGTGGCCAATTTACAATTTCAACGCAGTTGATATTACTAACTTACCTTGTTACCCCCACCGACGCAGCACCACAGTTTCTTTAGAAACCTACCCCCTTTATTCACGAATCAATCAATGTTGCTTTCCGCGTCTTGATAAAGAAAAAATTAAACCAAAGTTGGAAATAAAATATCTGATGAATTCATAATGTCATAATTCCACCTTTTAAACTACTCACTATCCACATGTAAACCCCAACTCGTCATTGGAATGAAACTCTTCATGGTTAATATGTAATCTGGATTGCTTCAGGCCCTTTAGGAAAGAGAACAGCGATTTCATCACGATTATTTTCCATAATTTTCTCCCTGAAATATCTTACAAGCTTAAAGGGAGACAAACATAACGCAATCTCCTGGGGATTCATACGAGAGGCCTTGAGATGGCCGGCTCACGAGAAAGAAAACGGAGATTGTTCGGTCCAATAACGTTAGTCCGTGGAGATGATCAAGCTAGTAGCCGAGGAGATTGTGCCCATTTAATTCATCAGTGACAGCATTAATTATTTAAACCCTGAACTCCTCGTCCAAGCGACAGCGAAAAAAGCCTACTTCTTTAGGCACTTACTATAGCATGTTATTATCAAGGGAAATAAATTTCAAAACTCGGCTCAAAACCGATATAATATTCAAGCATGTAAAACACTCCCTGAAAAAAAGCTAAATATTTAGAAATTGATTGTGATGAAATCCCTGTTCCATTTGCTGAGCTACGAGGATACTGAGTTTTTCAAAATCTCTACTTTGCGATGGTTTTCGCGCGAGCCGTACAAATTGCTACTGTTGGAACTAGGTTTTACAGGGAGTACTACCGCTGACAAGTTTCTAGTTATGCTCTCGAATTCTCAGTGTTTATGAGCGTTCAATCAAGTTTTACTTTTCTTTTCTTTTAGTTCTCTTTACTTCAGAATGCGCAGAAATCTGCTGAAATATCGAAAATGGCCATTTCTCGTCTTCTTTGGAGCGACCGATAGAAACTTCTTAGAGAAATGCAACGTTACGCCACCGTGATAACGTGCATGTTTATGACAAATGACTAGTGATAGGATAATTTCGTGTAGATCAGCCGACTTTAACATGTTTCAGACGACATACAAGTGTAACAGCTGAGATTTTTACATATGTAAAAACAAGAATATTATAACCAACTAGGTGGGTGGTCAGTTCAGCTCCAGAATCGGTGTACTTTTGGAGAAATTCAGAGAAACGTTTTCCCTGTTTTACCTAACAACAAAAATGACCGAAACTCTACCGAGATAAATAATCTATTAGTGCGTTTACATTTTCTCCCGGGGAAAATTGAATGCATCAAAGTGAAGACAAATAATGTCACTATGTATGGTAGAAGTACCAATTTGTAAAGTTGTATTTACCTTGAGATAGAGAGATAAACATTTTACACTTTTTTGCGATGTTTTTGTATGAAAATGAGGCCCCAGGCCTCAAACAAGCAGCCATTGTTGCCATGGCAACAAGAGTGCTGCAATCTTTAGAAAGGGCGTTTTTGTGCATCCCCCCTGAGTGCATAACTGCATGCAAAATTTGAAGTGGGGTTGAGAATTGTCATGTCTAAAGATGTTTGATTCTTACAGAGACTTGTTCTTAAGTAAAGATTTAAAAGGTTCAAAATTGTCCGCAGGACAGATTGGATGCGAAGGAGCAGATCGTTCCATAAGTTAGGGGCAGCAGATGAAAAGGCACGATCCCCTAAAGTCTTTTCTAGCTTTAAACTAGAATATTTTAAGATAAGACCATTAGCTGAATGGAGACTAGCGCGGCTGATTTATAAAGATTTAGAAATGAGATTTATAATAGTGATCAAGTCACTATAAAGATTTATAAATCAGATTTATCAAGTCAAAATAAAGATTTATAAATTATTATAAAGATTTCCATGTTATGAAAATTGAACATTATTTTGTGTTATGTTAACACTGACTTCTAATTTTGTAACTTTCGTACTATTTGAACAGTCATAACATGCCCAACTTTGCTCGTCCCACCGAAAGGGGTACTACTGACCTCTTTTTGCGGCAACACGTATGGTTCAAACTGTGTATTTGGCTGTGAAAGTGGTTATGGGAGCCTTGACGGAAATATCACAAGGACATGTCTACAAAACAGTGTGTGGAGTGGAGATAACATCAACTGTACAGGTAATGGCACATAACAAGGGTTCTATTATGAGAAATGACTGACAGACAAACGAAACAGCAAACAAAAGTCAACGACAAAAAAAAACTCTCTCCATCGTAACTGTGTAAATTCTTTACCAAGGCCTTCCTAGCGTCCACAACCAGTAGTAACCATACATAGGGCTAACATGTCCGTACCTCCATTATGTCTCCTTTTCAATTCCTTCTCTTTCCCTTTTTTTGATAATTTTTTTTAATCGTTTTATACAATGTGCCAGATATTCTTCCTCCAACATTTGATGTCCCATGCCCAGCAAGTCCTTTGATAGCGTATGCAGAGCGTGAAAAGTTCTCCGCTGAAGTGAACTGGACGGTACCAACTGCCACTGACAACTCAGGACTCAAAGCAGTAATAAACTCTAATTACCATCCACCAAGGATATTTCGCCAAGGAAGTTACATAATTACATATTCTGCAGTGGACCAGTCGGGAAACAAAGCCACTTGCAGCTTCACGATAGAAGTAATAGGTAAAACTTAATTTAGACAATTGATTTCACTTGGTCAACGTGTTAAATGTGGACTTCAGAATGAACTGACCAGGAATGGTATTCAGAAGGAACTAAATTTCATTTTGTGATCAATCATTTTTGTTACTGTTGTTTTTTAGTCATCAATTGCACATCGCTGGTGGCAAACCCAGGCAGTGCCTTGCGTATGAGTAGTTGTGGTAATCACTATGGAGCGCGTTGTGAATTTTCTTGTGCCAATGGTTATCGTTTGAATGGTTCGTCGGATGTTACATGTGTTACCTCAGATGACAGACCTCCCGCCGTCTGGGACAACCTGATACCTACCTGTCAAAGTAGGTGGCATCTGACGGGATAACCTATTACACATCGATTATGCAGTATGATGTTCCGCAAAATGCATCATGTACTCTCACATTTTAATGTCTTTCTGATTGAATTTGCGAGTCAGAAGGTGGCTTACCCGTGAAAGTATTGGAGAAAACAGTGAAATATGAGGAAATAATCACAACTAATTTGAATTATAATTTTTTTTTTTATCAACAAGGCATTACATGTCCTTCTCTTCCTATACCCACAAACGGAGGTAAGAAGGGCTGCGAGGACACAGTGTCCGAACTTTATGACACACTCTGCAGTTTTTACTGTAACGATGGCTACAGTCTGGTTGGATCGTCTGCTAGGAGATGTCTAGAGAATGGGACTTGGAGTGGAGAAACGTCTTTATGTCTACGTAAGAAACAAAATCATTTCCTTATTCTGAAAGCTTACGCATATATCAACAACATCAACAACGCAGTGATTTGCGTCAACGTTTTGTCTCTTTTTTTGCTTGCACAGTTATCACGTGTAGTCCTCTTGTTCCTCCAACTGATGTGTCAATTTCTCCATCGTCTTGCTCATCAATAAGTAACTATGGCCAGACCTGCCGCTTAACTTGCTCTCGACCGGGATACTCTCCAAATGGGACCTCATCGAGAACTTGTGGTAGAGATGGACAATGGACAGGTTCAAACGACACACGTTGTACTGGTAAGCTGGTGAATCCTTCAAGTGCAGCGTAGTTTCTTTTCCTCTTATTTAGTAGTTCAATTAGCATGCATTGCTTAAGTTACAAGCTGGGATAAAAGTGAAGCACAAACAATAAACACGTAAAAAAGGTACTTTTGAAAGAGTTTTGGGTAAATCTATCCATTTTTATTTCCTTTTACAGATACAACTCCTCCCTCTTTCAATAATACTTGTCCAAAGGACATGATGGTCTACACTCCTGAATGCTCATCCAGTGCTTTAGTGGGGTGGATTGAACCAATTGCTGATGATAATTCTGGTCACGTAATCGTTACTTACCCCTCCATTCGAACATCAGCTCAATTTCGCATTGGTCTCTATTATATAACATATTCAGCTTCGGACGCCGAAGGAAACAGAGCTAACTGCACCTTTGTGGTGCAAGTTACAAGTATGTCTTAGAAATATAAGGAAGATTGAGTATACCATTAGAAAAACCGCGTTTACATGTGAACCTGTAGTATTAGCTCTTACTCGCCACAAGGATCGAAATAGGTTGGTGGGTTAAGCACTTGTTTTCAAAAATAAGAGTTACTCTACATATTTGATCCAAATTTTCATCTCTTCATAGATTTCGAAAAATGTTTGTACGTCTGCTCATATTCGTAGCAGATAGGCGATTCTGGTGGGCGATTTTAATTTACCTGATGTGGACTGGCGAAACATTAGAGCCACCAACAATTCTACTAACTACAAGCTATTGTTAGATGTAATACAGGATAATTTCCTTTCACAACTTGTGGGCGAACCAATTAGAGACCGGAATATCTTAGATCTCGTGCTAAAAACTTCAGCAGATATTGTACAAGATTTATTAGTCAGCGAACCTTTCTCTGACCATAATTTAATAACTTTTTCCGTGACAACGTCTCCCGTATTTCCATGCAAGTCTCAGAAGCTGAGCTACGCGTCTAGAAAAGCCGACTGGGATCGTCTTAGATCTTTGTTTTCCTATACACCTGGGATGTTTTCTACTTTGACCACTGTTTAGATCTTAATTGGCAAGCATGGACGGACTTAGTTTTCGCTGCAGTCGACCAATGTGTCCCTAAGCAAAAGTCTAGCAAAAATGTAAACGCTCCCTGGATTACCAAGGATCTCATTGGTCTTTGTTGCAAAAAGAAATTGCTGTATAGGGAAGCCAAAACGTCAGGAATGGAACAGATCTGGATTAAATATTGGAAATTAAATAAATCCGTCAAAAAAGCGTGCAACTCGGCCAGGCGGAGTTACATTAAGAACTTGGCCGAGGAGTTAAAGGTAAAAAGAAAATCCCAAACCGTTCTGGAGTTTCGTTAAATCTGCGCGTAAGGGGACTAAGCATTTGGTCTCCCTTCTTGTTGATGGAGTAACCCTGACAGACGACCTCTGCATTGCCCAAAGTATGAATCAATTTTATTCATCGGCGTTTACATCCGAAGATTGTGATAACGTTCCCAATTTTGATTATGTTGTCACCTCTAAGCTCTCTAAAATCTATTGTTCTGTTAATGAGATTGTAAAGCTGTTGAAGAATTTAAATGCCTACAAGTCCCCTGGGCCTGACGGTCTGTCGCCGCGCATCTTGAGGGATTGTGCATCGGCTCTCTCTCCATCTATATGTACATTAATCAATAAGTCCTTCGCTGTTGGCCAATTACCTAGCAAGTGGAAATGCGCCGATATAACAACTTTGTTCAAAAAGGGCAGTAAAAACTGCAGAAACAATTACCGTCAGATTTCACTAACATCGATCGCGTGTAAACTAGCAGAACAAATAGTAAAACGCCGTATTATGGAGTTTTGGGGTGAAGCCAATATTTTTGACCCGACTCAATTTCCGTACATGAAAGGTCGCTCTACTGTTACACAGCTGTTATCCTGTTTTAACGACTGGGGGAAATCTCGTAACAAGAGAAATCCCACGGATGTAATTCTGTTAGACTTCTCCAAAGCGTTCGACAGTGTTCCACACAGACGTCTGCTTCATTAGAAAGACACGGTATCGACGGCCCTCTTCTCAATTGGTTTCAAAGCTTTTTGATTGGTCGGTCGCAACGTGTTCTTTTGTGCGGCAGCTATTCGTCAGGGACTCAGGTAAAATCAGGCGTACCTCAGAGAACAATTTTAGGGCCCATCTTGTTCACAATGTACGTGAACAATATATCAACTGGAAATTCTTCCGCTGTGAAATTGTACGCAGACGACACTAAACTCTATAGGGAGATAGTGAACATTCCTGAGGATACGCATGTGCTACAATATGACTTGTTTCGACTCACTGAATGGTGTAAAACCTGGCAGTTGAAATTTAATCCCGATAAATGTGAAACAATGAGAATAACGCACAAACAAGAGAAGTCGAAAGGGAGCTATACACTTGATCCAAACGGTGAAATTCTAAAGAGCATGAAAAATATCAAATATCTCGGTATTACAATATCGTTAGTTCTATCATGGAGTTATCATATTCACGAGGTGGTCAACAAAGTCAACAAAGTCCTTGGGGTAATTAAGCGCGTGCTTGGGTCTAATAGCGTAAATGAATTCTCTTTGCTATACAAATCTTTATTAAGGCCGATACTAGAGTATGCGGTTCCAGTGTGGTATCTCTTTCGGGTAAAAGACATTGTTTTGCTCCAAAAAGTCGAGACTGGCTCTTGGCCAAAAGAGAGGCGAAATGGACAACGAGGAACGTTGCTCCATTTTAAAGTGGTCACCATTAAAGAATCGAAGACTGTATTTTTCTCTGATCGAATGTTATAAATGTATATTTTCTCTCAGTAATCTCGAATTCCAAGACGTTTACCAGTTAGCTTCAAATCGAACAAGAAGTAATCATAATTATAAGCTGAGGTTTCAAGCATCCAGTTGTAACTGTTACAAATATTCATTTTTTTGTGAGAATTGTAAAAGAATGGAACGATTTACCTGAGTTGGTTGTAGGGGCGGGAAATCTTGCATGTTTTAAGCGTTCTTTAGGATTATTTAACAACTATTCACCGAAGTGGAGGTGGTTAGTGGTGGATATTTATTTAAATATCCACCGCTAACCACCGACACTGGGGTGAATAGTTGTTTTAGTATATACTAAAACAGTGAGATAATATACACCACCAAAAATTTATTTTAATTCATACATTCCAGCAACGATTCCAACATTTCCCGCGCGTAACGATCCAACGCGGCTCGGATCGCGATAAGTGATTTTTTGTTGTAAAAACTGCCGTCACGTTATTTCGCTGTCAGATAAAATTTCCGAAGACATTTGTTTAGCTCTGGTGGCGACATTTCTTCAAATGGTGTTGCAAACTCTTTCTGTATTTGAAACCATTCTGTAAAAAATACCATTCAACTTTGATTTTCAAGTGAACAAGTGAGGTTACGCAAGATTAATTTGCATTTGTAAACAAAATATTTTTCATTGGTTTTTATCGATAAACTCCCGGTTACCATTACCTTTAAACACGGCCAAACCAAATTTAGTCGCTTTCTCTGTGTTTTCAGGGACTGCTTCGTCGTTATTTGAGTGATTTATTCGCTTGTCACGG